ACGTAGTCATCGTTAATTTTCAATTGACGTTCAAATAAATCGATGCTTTAGATTTAGGAGGGATCGGTTAAAAATAACCCATTCACTCTTTATTTAAAGGTCAAAATTCAAAGAAAAATTTTTTTTAAAGAAATATATTAATTTAAGTACATTTGATAAATAAAAATTAATTTAAAAACTTGTAATAAATATATATTTTTCTAAAAACATATTTAAAGTAATATTTTAATGAACTTTTTTATTTCCTATTAAATTCTTAACAATGCAGTTAACTTATAATTTTGTCATATTAATTAACATATTTAGCAACAAAAGGTCAGATTTCGCAAAACACGATTTATATTTTCCGCCTCTGTTTAACTTTGTGACGTCAGCATAGTATGCTCTAAAGATGTATTAATGTAGCCAAAGCAAAAAATATTGATACAAATGTGAAGTGAATACCAAAATAAATATGCTAACAAAACTAATAATATTAAGAAAAAAAACTAATGTGATAAACAAATAATAATATAAAACGATACAGGAAAATCTGATTAATCGAATCACATTTAATGAAAACGATTTTTTAATTTTACTATAATGGGAAAGACTAATTATAAAATTAATGCAATTAAGTGCAGCGTATTTCTGACGGTCTTTTCAATCCACTTATTTTTTCTAAATTGGCCTTTTATAGTAAACAATGTGAGACTATTTTTACTGCGTCTTTTAATATTATTTTTTTATTAAAAAGTTTATTTTTCCTCAAAATTATTAGTTTTATCAAAGCCAAAAAAAATTTTTTTTAATTCCTTTCTCACTTGTATCAATAGTTTTTGCTTTGGCGATTTTAATACATCTTCAAAATGGGTATGCGTATGTAGCACTAAAGGTCAGTGAAAATTTGGCCTTGTAAATTAATTATTAAGTATATATTAGTCCAAAGAGTGAGTTCATCATTTATTTTCTAAACATTTTAAATTCTTTTGTTCTAAAATATTTTTTTATTAGATTTCTTTTCCATATCATCAGTTATTAGCTTTCAGAAAAATTTTTATTATAACAATTTTTTTCCATGTATATTATAACAATTATAAAAAATTTTTAACAAAGCTAATAATGGATGCAAAAAAAAATTTTATTATAACAATTTTTTTTGCATCCATTATTAGCTTTCAGAAATTTTTTTATTACAATTTTTTTCCATGTCATCCATTATTAGCTTTCAGAAAATTTTTTATTATTACAATTTTTTCTTTCTGTCACTAATATTTAATTTTTTCCTATCAAATATTTTTAGTTGTGTATGCAAAGAAGCCTCTGCACAACAGTTAGTAACTTGTCTTAGTTTTTAAGTTTTTAATTGCAATCATTTTCTAACATTATATATTTATATAAACTCAAAATGTAGAGAAAACATGGAAAAATTACAGAATAATGAAAAAGAGAAGAAAACTATTTAAAAAAAATTATTTAAAAAAAACCTTTAATAAAAATCGGAAAAAAGATACAATATTTTTTCTTAAAATTCAATTTTTACTCTTAAAATTAAATTTTTATTCTTAAAATTAAATATAACGAAAAAAAAGCACTTTCTTGTAATGCAAATCTTTTTTTATAATTTTTTAAAAGGTAGTAGTTTTTAATACTAAAATGTTAACAATAACAATATTCTTATTGATAGCGAAGTAGATTGAATGTTGGAAGAAAATAACTAACACAAATTAGTAGTTAAACAGAAGGAACAGAGTTTGCGTTGAATTTTTAAGAGTTATACAAGATGCCCTAAATTAGACTGAATATTTTTTAGAAATGCATAGTAGGAAAACAGTTATAGTTAATAAAACAATTCTTGCAGCAAATTCATGTCACAGGGTATAAATGTTTTTTTCCTAGAATCCCTGTTTTTTACAACACATGGTACACAACTAGTAGAAAACGTGTAAATTAAGAAGAAGTAATTGAAAATCACATCACTAGTTTAAGAAATCGTTTGATGAACGATTTTGACGAAATGCTCAATGTCAGGCACAATGACATGTCGTAATCGAAAACCGAATTTTACTTAAATCATAAAGCAACAGAGAAAAATGATAGAAAAGCATGCAGCGCCATTTATCGGTAAATTCTTGAACTAAAGCAGTAGATGAAAAAATGTATGCCCTATCCCTGTCACATTAGTTTGGTGCAAGAATTGTATTTTTAACCTTAACTGTTTTCTAGTTAGAAATTTTTGAAAACCGTCAATCAAATTTATGGCAAAACATATAACAATTTGACAACTCTCAATTTTATGATTAATTTTTTTGCGATCGAAGAGTAGCCGACAGTAAAAAATGACAAAATCCACTTCAAAAATGTTTAATTTAAGATATCAATTCAAAAAATGAAAATAGTTTAACACGTAAAACCTGTTGTAAAAGGTAATTGTAAAATACAATACGAAAAAATTTCATTAAGTAAAAAAAAAATTGTAAACATTCTAAAAATATTAATTGGATTAAACTAAATATAAGAAGTAAGCAAAAATATAAAATTTCTAAGGCCGAAAGGCAGCCGACGGCAAAAAATTTCATATTCTGCTTGGTAGTAAATCCAAACTAATATACATTTCTTTGAATAATCAATTTTCAGAAAGTATTTAATTTAAGAAAATATTTAAACAAGTAAAACTTGTTGTAAAAAGTAATTGTAAAATACATTGCAACAAAATTTAATTTAGTAAAAAAATTTGTAGACAATCTTAAAAGAATATTAATTTGATTTCGCTAAATATAAAAACTAGGCATTTCGGCTCTTTTTTTTTTTTTAATAATCTAGTTGAAATCAAAATAGTCAGTTCGTTTTCTTTGAATAATTTAGTTGAAATAAAATTAGATATTTCGTTTTCTTTGAATAATCTAGTTGAATTAAAATTAGGTTCGTGTCTTCTAGATAATCTAGTTGAAATAAATCCACGAATCATATCTGGAGAGATCACAAATATAGCACACAAAAAAAATAGATTCTATTCAAGGTACTTTTTTTACAATCCCCAACTATGGATTTTTCTTTCCCCTCCATAATAGTGGAATTCACAGAGACAAAATGATGTTTAAATGAGCGATGGATTTGTACCGCGTTTGGGCTAATCTAATTACGCAATAAATCTAAGAGTCACTCCCATTTCATGCCAATCCTAAAATAAACTCACAAAAAATAAGAAAAATAATAATCACTGTGATCCCCACTTGTGTTTTGAATCATTCGGAAATATATCTTTTTAAGACCGAATTCTTTAATTGTTATTACTTATATAAATTAAGTGTAACATCTTTATTTCATATGAGTACCAAAATTTAAATTTCTAATAAAGTCTTAAACTTGCCAATTTCAATTGATAAAATTTAAAAAATATTTATCTCAAGTAAAGTTGATAGCGGAGAAGGCCGTGGTTGAGATGAGCTGATTCGGTGTAGTCTGATTTTCTTGCGATTATTTTATTTTATTTTATAACCGTCGTTGAATAGCCGACCCAATATTTGGGTTTACGACTACTAATGTTCAACTCCGTAGCCTTGTAATTTTGAATTCAATCTAGAAGACAAGGGAACTCCTGGATCAAGTATAGGGAGAAATTTGCCTTCGTGGAGGACTTTTGGTGGAACTAACCCGCATTTGCGTTACATGGAGAGGAAGACCACGAGAACCTTCTAAGGTTAGCCTGACGGCAAGGGGACTCTGATCCATGATCCGTCTTCCACTGAAGATATTTCACGTGAGCACTGTGGTCGGTGGAAGCCGGATGCGGATTCGTGTCGATCATTCATCGCCGGGATTCGAACACGGTTCACCTCATTGGAAGGGAAACGCTCTATCCCCTGAACCATCACGGCTCTCTTGCAATTATTGAAAAGAATTGGAGATCAAAGATAAATCGGAAGTCGTTATGGAGCAATCTTTAGAGCAGTGTTTCTTAACCTTTTTGATACAATGGACCCCTTTTAAATTTTTTTAAGAAGTCACGGACTACCCCCCTGAGAAAAAAAATTGCAGAAAACATCAATTTTTAGTATTTAATTTATTTTAGCATTTAATTTTATGATTTCCAAAATATTCAAAATTAAATTTTTTAGTCTGAAGGTTGTTGCTGCTTTTCCTTAATAAATTGAATAGAGGGATGGTTTTCGACAAAGCTATACGCATAACATGTTGTGTCATTGTCACAACTGTGGAAAGTCCGGCTTCGTTAAGGTACACTGTAGCTAACGGAATTATAGCTGAAATAGCTCGCTTTACAAGCAATGGGCAGGCTTCTTTCACAGAAGACCAGAACTCTCCGAGTGTTTTTGAATCGAAATCCATTTTTAGCAAGGACTTTGTTCTAAGATCAATAAGCTCATCTTTGGCAAGGTTCATATCATCGATACAGTCAATATCACAAAGAAAAGGATGACAAATCCACAACTAATCTTTTATCTTTATCTCATCCAAATTAAAATATTTTTTCAATGTAACTTGAAGTACTTCCAGGTGTTCACAGATTCTATTTTTAAGTTATTCAGTAACAAATTATCTTGCCAAGATCCAGTTTGAGAAAGCACTTCGTCCAGCATTTAAAAGTTTGCATATATCTCATTTTGAATTCTATTTTTTTCAAAGTGGCATCTTCAATTAGAATGCTTGTAATTTCTCAGTTGCATCCATAATGGTGATATCGGGTCATTGAATTAAAAGACTTATATTGTTCATGTGGTTAAAATTATCTGCCAGGTAAGCCAATTTATAGGTAAAATCTTTTTTGTTTAAATATTCGAAGAATGAGTTATCTTTCTCTTCTAGAGCAAGTGATAATTCGATCTTCAACATGAAAAATTGTTTCAAAACCTGCCCTCGTGACAGCCAGCGCAATTCCGTGTATTACAGAAGTACCTCATGTTCTGCGTCCATTTCTTGACACATCGTTTTAAAGAGACGATGATTAAGAGCTCTACGTCTAATAAAATTTACAGTTTTAATAACTTTTGATAATGCTTCTTTTAAGCTGGTTGGAAGAGTTTTTGTAGCCAGCGCATGTTTATGTAAAAACCAATGAGTAACAAGAACATTAGGAGACTTTTTTTTACAAACAGGGCAAAACCAGATTTATTGCCAAGCATCACATGTGCTCCATCTGTACGAAGTGAATGAAGTTTTTCTTTCCAGCCGAAGTCTTGTTTGGTAAAGAAAACATTTAACATTGCTAAAACATCAACTGCCTTTGTAGTTTGCAAAAGAGACTCACAAAATAAGAATTCTTCTTTGATAGTATCAAGAGACACGTAACGAACAAAAACAAGAAGTTGACTATAATTCGAGATATCTGTAGTTTCATCCAGTTGCATACTAAAGGGAAATGGCGATACTTTCAATTCATCGATGATCTTTTTCAAGATATTGCAAGAAATTTCAACTATTCTTGAATGTGTCACATCATTTGAAAATGGAATTGCCTCAAGTTTTTTTTCTCTGTTCCAATCTACAAACTAATTCAACCATCTCCAGCGCACATGGCTTAATTAACGTCTCTCCAATAGTATGCGGTTTCTTGCTTTTAGCAATATGATATGCAACTTTGAGAGATGCCTCAACCAGAGGTTTTTGTGGAATACCAAATCCAAGTTTGTCTAATGTTCCAGATTTCAAAAACTGGGCTTTCTTCTTAGTAAAAAATTCTAGATCTAGTAACCTGAACAAGGTGTCAAATGTACGTAGCTTGATAGGGGATAATAAAAATAGTACAGCGGACGTCATCAGGGGGTTGCCCCTGATGGTGCAAACTGAAAGCCGGTTAGTGGAGGATGTTAAAAATATGACAGGGATATTAGAGGGCTGTGTGCAGTCCGTACTGAATTTGGGGTATCTCGATCACCTAGTTTCAAATATGTATGTATTTTCACCTTTTAGAAAGAAAAAAAGATCAATGTTATTTAAATATTATTGATCCAAACGTTTTAAAAATTAGGAGTAGTCGGTGGACCCCTAAAATATGACCCATGGACCCCTAAGGGGTCCATGAACCACAGGTTAAGAAACCCTGCTTTAGAGGAAGGCATTGGCCCACATTGGGCTGTCTGGCCAATTATGAGGATGATAGTTGAATTAACTAGTAAAAGCAAAATTATTTTTAAAAAAACAACACTAGGTCTTATTCGAGTTACTCTTTAAAAGGGAACTTTAAATACTGCATTTGAAATAATATTAAGTAGAGAGATGTCAAACATAAGTATCCTTCTTCCTGCAAAAAGAAAAATTTAAAAGGTATTTCAGCATAATTCCTAAAAATTCACTGAAAAAACTTCAATCCGGAGACTGCTAACTTTTATGACATACTATTCGAGTTACTCTTTAAAAGAGAACCATAAATATTTCATTTGAAGCATTTTTTTATGGAGAGGAGAGGTAAAATATATCAAACAAATCAAGTGATTTATAATTCTACTATATATATATATATATATTGGGACCTCTATTTAACGAAATCGCTAAAACCCGAAAATAAGTTCGTTGTATGGAAACTTTGTTAAATAGAAAATCACATTTTGAAATACTTTAACTGCACAAAACAGATTTTAAAATCATAAATACTGCGCATAATTAAAATAGCAATTAATACCCTTTTACCTTGTTAGCTAGTATCCACTTTTTATTTCATAAATCTTAACCATAAAAGAAATCTGCATGGAAAGCAAGAATAGAGCAAAACATTATCCAGTGTTACACTATCATGCTACATACATTTTCAACTAAAGCTAAATTTATGTATAAAATTTAGCATTTATTATAAAAGTAATTCCAAGCATACATTTCCACATGCGTTCTTAAGTTTAATTGCTACTGACAAAATCCCTTAATTTTGTCAAAGTTTTTCGTTTGAAATGCAAATAAAGAGGGAAAGGGATTTCTCTGATTTCATTAAAAGTTAAGTGGGTTCGAAAATCAATTCAATGTCATTTCCCCCATAAAAGGCGTTAACAAGTTTGAAATGTTTAAAATATTTTGGGAAATAGGGAAAGTGGATCTCAAAGATCTTCACTTCGTTATTTGGAAGTTATTTTAAGAAGAAATTTCCAAAATGTTCTTGATTCCGCAAAAAAAATCGTAAAATAGAGAAATTCGCAAAATAGAAGTCCGACTGTATATATATAAACTTTATCTAGAAAATAAGTAGGACTAACACTGAGGTGAAACAATAAAATTAAATAAATCACTGAAAAAATAAAATGTTCAAGAGTTACAAGAGAAAAAAGAAAGATAGTTGTAAAACCTAACCTTATTCAAAATTTTTTTTACAACTAGATGAAAAGAACCCCATTTAATATTTTAATAAATATAATTTCTGTTTACACTTATCTAAAAAAAATCAAAACAAACGGAAAAATAAAGCAGTTTTTATAATATTATAAAATATTCTCAATAAGTCCATATATATTAAAATCATCCTAAAATAAATAGTATTGACTGAAAAATAGTGCCTAAAAACGAGAATTTAACATTCATTTTTCCTGTTTCATTAAATCCACAGTAATGAATTAGTTCCATTACAACTTTGAAAATTCTCATAAAAAATCAATACCTATGGGGATACTTGATCGGAGATTGATCGTGCTCTGGTTCAGGTCAAAAGTGCGATCTGCGGATGAATGTCGTGTGGATATGTCCTCTCCGTAGAACGGGGGATGTGACACATGTATGTTGTATCCAGATCATCCTCAGGGATGTAACCCAGGCCGACACCAATAACCCATTGTGCAGATCTAGTGCTACGTAAATAAAAGTACCAAGTACAACTTAGAAAAATAAAATGCTTTTAAGTTTTTAATCCAAGCTAAGTCCCCATCCCAATTAAGAAAAAAAAAGTGTTCTTCAGTTAATAGTTTTCCTAAAAAGAATCGTCTGCTTTTATTCATCCATTTAACTTCAACTTTTTACAAGACACAAATAACAAACGCAATCCCTCCCAATTTCTAATCGAACCAAATGGAAATAATTTTGGAAATGTAGTCAAATGTTGCATCAATTAATTTCCTTATCATGTGCAGTAACTGCACAAAATTTCGTAAACCTTGCTTAAATATTCTTGGAGGTGTGGACACGTTTATAGAAAAAAAATTCGAAATTTTTTGCCTTACGTTTTCTTACTTAACTGTAGAAATATTTAAAAAATAAAACAAAATTTTTGAAGTAATTTTTATCGACAAAATCATTTAAAAAAAAAAAAAGAAATCATTAAAATTCGGAGAGCCCAGTCATCGACTGTTGAAATTGCTTCGAAACAAAAAAACTTTTTTTTCTTTTTGTTGTTGTTAATTTACGTCGCACTAGAGCTGCACAATGGGCTATTGGCGACGGTCTGGGAAACATCCCGGAGGATGATCCGAAGACACGCCATCACAATTTTGATCCTCTGCGGAGGGGATGGCACCCCTGCTTCGGTAGCCCGACGACCTGCGCGCGATTTTTTCTTTTTGAAAAATAAAAAAATTTTGAAAATGTTGAATTGCATTTTTCTTTTTAACGCACTTTATTTATACTGATTTCATCCTAAATCAAAGTTATTTTTCAACCATTTTATTTTTTCGGTAGTTATTGCTGTGCATTCCCACTTGATTTTAAAAATTCTGATATTTTTATTACGACATGCGAATTTTAAATCGCGCATTTAAATAACTACTTATTGATATGCTGATTTCCTCGTAAATTTAAATTATTTTTTTATCTTCTTTTTTTTTTCTTTTATTTTTTATATGCTTTTCCACATGATATTGATGACGCCGTTATTTTAACTATGATGTTAGTACGACAAGCGAGTTTCTAGTCGCGAATTAAAATAATCACTTTTTGATACAATTTATATTGGCACATTTTTCTTGTATATCTCAGTAATTTTTCCAGTTTTTTTTTTTTCTTTTTTGCAGTTAGCGACATGCACTTCCATAAGTTATTTAAAATCACGATATTTTAATACAATGTTATTGAAACATGAGAAATTTGTAAATTGGAGAAAAATAATACGAATTTTCAAAATGCTCACTGTTCGTAATTTTGTTTTCAATTTTTTGTTGCTTAAAATATTGTTTTAGGAAAAAATAGAAAACATGTACTATTTAACATTCATAAAACCTCTATTAATTCAATAATTTAAATTTATATTACTCATCAAAATATGTATTTATTTTTTTTATACTTGCATTCTGTGAGCATCGCAATTTTTTTGTTAGATTTTATTTTGAAATGAACTTTTGTATTCTGTAATATGATTTTAGAAAGAAAAAAAAAATTTCTTTTTTCCTCGTTTATTTATTTTTTGATAAATATTTTTGATGAAAAGGGAATTTTTTTTCAAAAAAAAAGGTATCAGCCTTTTTATTTATGAATAAATTCTAATTGTTAAAAGTATTTAATTTTCTACAAATATATTAAGTTTACTGATCTAAAATTTAGCTAGCACTAATGTTTGTATAAAAATTACCATATGTTGTACAAAAATATATCTAAATGAGCGTGTGACACTTCGTTATTCAACCTGCTGTGCAAGTGGCCTTTCACTCAAAAAGATTGTGCTTTCGTAATTTAAAGTAATCCTTTTATTCAACATATGCATTGGGTTAGAACCCCATGCCGCCAGGATAACCATGGGAGAACTTCGTGGTTTTCCTCTCCATATAACGGAAATGCGGGTTAGTCCTACATGAAGGCAAATTTCTCCCAATACTTGATCCTGGAATTTCCTTGTCTTCTGGATCGGGAAAAAGTCCTATTTAAATATCTTGAAAATTTAAAAAGGTTCTAACAAGTAATTTTTGTAAATTTTGAAAGAAAGCTTTGAATTTTCACAAATTTATTTTGTACTATTAAACAAGATTTATTAAAAATGACACTAAAGAGGAACATTGTAGAAACCATACTATTTCAAGTATGTTTCATTTCACTGATACCAACATATTTTGTCTACAGGCAATTATCGGAAGGTATACTATCATTGTGAGAATCATTTATTAAATTTTGTTTTATGATACAAAATTAAGTTTGTGGGAAACTCTTTATCATTTAGAGCAGTGGTTCCAAATCTTTTTCGGCCTATCGCTTGACTATAGATGCTGACTGCCATCTAATGCCATTCACATTTTTTTCTTTCTTAAAAGACTGAGTTGTCACAAATCAGCATCGATAATAATGAATTTTTCAGTTTATTTTTTCAAAAAGACCAGATATTTGAAAGAAAATAATTAAAACAGGAGTACAGATTTATCTTTTTTAATTGGAATCTGTTATTGTTGTCGTCGGCCATTAAGGCAGAGGGGGTGCGATTGTTCTTGTTTTACCAGTGACGCCATGTTGGGCAAGAATTCTAGTTTTGCCACACCCGTTTTATAGGGTGAACCCAGTCATTCGTCTACAAATCTTAATTCTGACTTGATCCAAAGAACGATCAATCTGCAATTCAGTACCCCCAGAGGTATTGATTTGTTATGGGAACATGGAGGACTTTGCGATTAGACAGATTTAGCATGCATCAGTCACCATTAACAACACGGGGAGTCTTCGGCAGGCTGGATTCGAACTCCCATTCTCACAAACGTGAGTCCAGCGCCCTACCATAAGGCTATCCCTACCATAACTTTTCTTAATCTCGAAAAATAAATAGCTTTTACATGCTTTAAAATTGTTTCCATGTTTCAATCATATAATCCAAGCTTGGATCCTTATAGATCAGCAAGTGCAATTCCTGAGACCAGAACAATGGATTCCAAACAGTCCTGATGCTGCACCATGCGACTATTTCCTATGGGGACATCTGAAAACCAAACTGAATAAGCGTTCTACATTGAGAGGCCTTCAAAGAGTTATTAGAGAGGAGGTGAAGAAAATCTCCCAGGAAATCATTTTGTGGACTTTAAAATCATGGCCGAAGCGTTGTAGACAAATCTATTATGCCGGAGGTCGACATATTGAGAAGCATCGCTGAATTTGTGTAATAAATTTTGGAAATAAAAACATTAAAAAATTATCCCTATATTTTTTTATTACCCTGTATAATACATTTATAACTAGTATTTTTAAAAGCGAATATTTTTGCACACATCATCATATGGAAAATGTACTATATCTACTTTTTCATCAACTATTCTTATTAGGTTTCTCAAATGCTTATCAGTCAATCTATTACAATATTTTATCCATTGTGCATGCATTCGGGTATGTATGATCTTAAAAATATTTCAGCCATCTTTGCAGTTAATGTCTTGATAATGATTCAACCGTTTACTTTGCTTCTGAAAAGTTGAATTACAGTTATGCATGAGAATAGTTTTCTTAACTGTGTGTCATGTTCAATTAAGTCCTATTTCGAGTAAAAACAGGCCATACTAATATCTAAGCACATTAAATCATTCCACTTTTTATTTTCATTAGGCTTTATTTTTTTTTTTTTTATTTATAGCAATAAATATTTTTATGAAAATTTTCATGGAATAAAAATACAATTATGTTTGAGAAGATTTATAATTTTCAAAGCAATATGTTTTTTATTAGTTCCTGGTGAAACATATTAACAAAAGGGTCTAAAACGATTTTACAAAGTTATCAACACATTCCTATGGCCAGAAAATACTGATAAGTTATTTATTACAAGTTATATTAACAAATACTGATAAGTTATTTATTGTTTAATCATTTATAGATATTTACTAGTAATATTTGTTTAACATCCTCTATCATTCTTAATATTATTCTCTAGCATTTTTATGATTTGATATTTTATTTTTATTACAACCGAACCGAAACGTAAAACCGAAAGTGGTATTTCTTATTACAAAATAATCCAGTAATATCACCTTATCAAGTAACGTTTTGTAAAAAAAATATTGGAAAATTTTGTGAAAAACATATTGAAAACAGTTTGTAAGTTAACTATTTTAAAATTATTACTGTAAAGCAAATTTGTTATATTTACTTTTATGAACTTTACACAAAATTATTTCCAGCCAAACCTGTTATTAGGAATTAACTTTACATAATCTTACCAAACAATCTGGCAAAAAACATTAATTTTAAAACAACCAAAACTTAAATATAATTAAAAAAAAAACAGTATAGTAAATTAAGTTGCAATGTTAACTGAATAAAATGATTATTAAAATCTAAGGATCTTTTAATTGAGTAGATTTAAATTTTTACGTAGCAATCTGCTTATCCTTAAGAAAGAAAAATAATAGCGTAACAATCTAAAACTTTAAAAAAAAAACTTACATTGCAACAAAACAAATGATAAATAGTTACCAAATATTTAACTTTCTTGTTAGAAGCAGGTCATGCATTCTTATTTAATACTCAGGAAAAAAAAAATTAAAGAATTTCAGAAAATTGCTGAATTAGATAAAACGCAATTTTATATATTTTTATTTACAATTATTTAACATTCATAAATTATGATTTTCTGAATCAAAATTTTTGACAGTAATTGTAAAATCATGGGGGGGGGGGAAAAGGTTTAACGTCAAAAGGATTAAAGAACACACTAGATTGATCACTCGAAATTTTATATGTACTTTTATTTATAATTACTTCATGTTTATAAGTTATGTAAGCTAATAATTATTTTCGAAGCTAAAAGTTGGGGTTTTGACAATTATTAAAGGCCATATCAAAAAGAGTGACTTGACAGTTATAAATTTCAGATATCAAACTTTCCAGCCCTGAGTAGAACCCACTTCTAATAAATCAGATGGGTTTTATCCAAAATTCTGACAAAAATATAAGAAAAGGAAGGTTTAAAAAAATTTAAGTTATAAGAATCTCTAGAAACCTTTAACAAAATATAGAAACAAGAAATTTTTAAACAAAATTATTTTTGAGGATGAGAATAATTAAACCAAAATTGGTGAGCTGCAATGGCAGAAGTTAAGGAAGATTTTCCTTGGTGTCAGTCTAAATGGGGCAAATTTTAAATCTACAAAATTGAATCAATGTTTCTATTTTGTAGAAAAAGAGCTATTTAACACTTGTCTAAAGGGGGAAAGGAAAAATCAAATATATGTGTGTGTGTGTGTATAAAATGAAGGTATTTTGGCTTGAATAATTGGATTTTTGCTTAACTATTAACATTTTACGTATAATTCCAAGTGAATACAAAGGTTAAATAAAGTGAGAGTAAATAAAGAGACCTATAAAAACAATTAGCACATTTTAATTTTCTTTTAATATCTGAGTACAATGATTTACGAGTAATCTTTAAAAAATGATATATGGAAAGCAAATAAATATTATGCACTGATTACTGACCAAAAGACAAAGGAAACGCCATGCTATTTCAAACCAAAACATATTTCTTATAAAAAAAAATTAAGTATTTTACAAGAATGCATTTATAAATGAAAAAAATATATATACTGATGATTGTAACATAAAATTAAAAAATTTCAAAATTTTTATGTCTATTAAAAACTTTCAAATTAATAGAAAATGTAAAAGCAAACTACTTTAAATACAATTATTTTTCTTAGCAAATTTCATCATATAGCAATCCTGTAAACTATTTATATAAAAAATTATGGCAAACAAAATATAAAATCAAAAAGAAAAATAATTATTTCAGAATCATTTCATATTGACCTACTAATGTACTATAAAATTTGCATGGTTTTATATACTTTTATGTACATGAATTTTTACACACAACACATTTTTAAAACCATAAAAACAATGTCATAAATTAATATTTAATAAGAGACAAAATATACAAATGCAAATAACCTTGCTAAAGGATGAAATTACTTAAATTTACATCTTTTGTTTATGCCGTACATCATGTTCATATTTTTCATGCAGAATAAGTTTATATGTTGTTTGGTCTTTCCACATTTGTGCAGCTTGCGAGTTTAAGGGACTGTCAACATTAGGTTCTGAAATACATAAAACATTTAGATACACAACATAAGTTTTTAAGTATGTAAAATATAACACATAATAAGCAATAGCATTATACAACTTCAAGAGTGAAATGTACAATTAATAAAAAGCTTAAGTATAGTTTTATGACATAAGAGTAGTTAATGATGAGAGTAAGAAAGGAAAGTGGGGAAGGAAAAAGTACCCATTTAAAAAAAAAATCCTCATCACCAACATTTTTACGACAAAAAATAAACAAATAAAAATAAATAAAATGTTGTGAAAAGGTTAGTGTTTTAATTATTTATGTTAAATATCACATCTTTAGGGGAGATTCTGCAACAGAAATTTAAAATTATTAAATTGTACAGATATGTAAGATATAAAAATAGTACTGATATTTTTAAAAAATGCAATGATTTCTTTAAAAGGATAAAATGGATTTCATTGATATCTCCATCAGGATTTAATGAAGTGTCAGCTCAAAGCAGCGAGAAAGGATTTAAAACTTCTTTTTAAGAAAAAAATTTGCAGATCCTTTTGTCCACGGATTGGCAAAAACTTTGTTTTATTCTGGATTGCAGGACAGTCAGCGAGAAGATTACTACTGCATCCTTGTTAGCTACAGCTGTTTATGCAATCTTATTCTTTCATCAGTTTGGCATAATTTCTTGCTGTTTTTGCAACAATTTGAAAAATTTTTGTTTATGTACTAAAATGTTTGCTTTTTTAGAAAAAAAATTGTCGCAAAAATATTTTTGATAGCTAATTTTTTCTAAAGCATAATTTATTAAAATTATTTTGCAAGAGAAAAAAAAAATTTTAAACTTGTATTCATAATCGAAGGAATTCTGCCAGCAGAATTTGTTTTTTTTTTCGAAATTGATTTCTGTCTTCAGAATGGAAGACTGGTACCCATGGTCCTGTTTTCTATTTTAAGTGAAATACTAATCATGTTAATACTTTACAGCTTATTGTTCAAAAGTTTATAAGTAAATTTATGCCATAAAATTTTAATTAAATATTTATGAAAATCAAGGCATCTTGTGATTTATTAGCATAAACATCGTAAAGAGCAATATAAAACAGCATAAAAGTTTTCAAAACTTAATTTTTTTTCTAAATAAAATGGTTAATTTGAGCATCATGACGCAAACTAATAAATATAATTCTTAATATTAATTTTAGGAAAAAAGAGGCAAAGAAAGTTTTTATAATGCTTTAGATTTATATTTGAGCTTATTTAGTTCAAAATACAAAGTCTTCATAAAGCAAATGAAATTTTATTCAGATTATTTATTCAGTTCATACTTTTGTTAACAGTATTATCTTATTCAGATTCCAATTTATAGTATCTGTGAAACATTTTTAAATAAATTATTAATAATTATGTATATTTAATTTGTTTTTAATACTCAGGCTTTGAAATGGATCAAAGAAAATATCAGAACAATTTAAGAAAAATCAAGTCATTTTTGAGAACAGTGTATGTATACAGAGTTAGAAATTAAGAAAATTTTGTGGATTAGTTATTTCATTTAGTCAGTAAATTAAAAATTTTAATCACTTAAAGGTAAAAAGATCTTATTAGCAAAATCTAGAAATTAAATTATTTACCATGCATGTTTAATATAATTTTTCACCAGTGAAGAATACAATTAAACCTTTAAAGCAAAAATTAAGATATTGGATTTTAAAATTGCGCGAATATGATTCGTGACATTTGATTTCAAAAACATGAATACAGAAATTGTGGTATTGGATTTTCAAATAGCATGAATACGAATTAATGGTCACAGACCAACACACTTATTATGTATGAATATGAAATGCGATATTGGATTTCAGAAACAGGAATACACAAATTGTGTATTGGATTATCAAATCACATGAATACAAATAAGTGGTGACAAACCAACAGACTAGTTCTAGTGGTTATAAACCAACAGACTATCATAAATTTTGAATTCCAATATACTGAGAAACTTTTAAAAAAGGCAAAAGTATGATTTGCTATACTTAGGTGTATTAAAAGCAACTTTTACCATACAAATGATAAATATAGTATTAATTTCTGAATCAATTTTGCTTATTATAAAAAGTTTTAACAGTTTTCAGAATAATTTTATAAATCAGGGATGAGATTAGCCAAAAAGCTGAATTTGCATGATAGTAAATTTTACGCAAGCGCAACCCTTTAATAACAAATTCCAGACAGTTTAAGGTAATAAATAACGTGTTGACATACAAATGTGTACTAATCTATTATTATATAAATGATTACATTGATACTTAGCATTTAGTGAAAATAAAAATTACCAATTGAAAAAATAAAGCTGGAAATTATATTTTTCCTCAGTTCACATAAGAGACAATTATTACTTGAAAAACTACCTGGTTTAGCAAATTAAAACTACTGAGAATATACATTAATATTTCATTTCTTTTAATAAATACTGTTATGTAATTAATAGCAAATATATCAGTAATATTACTTTTTAAATTATATTGGGAAAAAAAAACTTTAACAATGGACCGAATCATTATGTTCATATTATAGTCTAATCTAACTAGAGCCCTCTGAAACAAATCAATAATAGTGAAGTAGAAATATGTAGTAACTCCTTAATATAAAAAAATTGCTATTTCAGTTTGAAAAATTGCATGACAATCAGCAACTGTTTAGTTAATTGTTTCTTATTTGATAAGAATTTTGCATTTTATAGCATAAATAAAATTTTGATGATGAGTTAATTAACTCTTTTTCCAAAAAAAAATTTATTAAATCCCCTTTTAAGTGATTGCTTTTGTTTGCTATATCTTTTATGTTTGCTATATTTAGTCGTTAGTCCACCTTCAAACATCTTGAGACAAATCATATTTTTTTCTTCTTTGCAAGCACAGAATGTAAGTTTTGAATATATTCCCTNTTAAAAAAAAAAATTTATTAAATCCCCTTTTAAGTGATTGCTTTTGTTTGCTATATCTTTTATATTTGCTATATTTAGTCGTTAGTCCACCTTCAAACATCTTGTGACAAATCATATTTTTTTCTTCTTTGCAAGCACAGAATGTAAGTTTTGAATATATTCCCTTCCAGTTTCTCTGATGTTGTAACACTTACATATACTAATAGTCGTTGTTAGAAAAACAGTCACCTTTATAGTAACTAATTTTTAAAAAAATTTCTTACAAGAATCGCGATAGTTGATCTTAAAATTTTGTGAATATGAATAACAATTATGGATTTTGAAATCGAATGAATATGAAACTAGATATACAATTTTGAAAATGAGGAAATACAAACTGGGATATAGAATTTTCAAAACGTGTAAATACAAATCATGATTCATAATTTTTTAGATCGCGTAAATACGAATCATGATGCGTAATTTTTAGATTGCATAAATAATTTTGCATAATTTTGCAAATACAATGCATAATTTTTAGAATGCGTGAATGCGAATCTCAATGCCTTATTTTAAAATCGCATATAAATACGAAAATCAATGTTTGATATTATAAACCGCATGAGCAAATCAAGACATTGAATTTTAAACTTGCGTGAATACGAATCGCTACATAGGCTTTTGAAAAGGTGTAAATATGAATCACAATATCTGATTTTCAAATCTCGTAAATAAGAATCACAACGTACAATATTCAAATCGCGCGAGTAAGAATCGCAACACGCAAGTATGAAAAGTTATGTTTGATATTTAAATCGCGTGAATATGAATCGAGATATTAGGAGATTCCAGGCTTGGGGCCTCTAAAAGGATTGTCAGAAGCAGCGTCGTTTGAGCTACGAAAATCGGATCTATTTGGAGGGCGGGTAAAAAATTCAGAAAATCTTATCTGCTGCGTGTAACAGAGGAGGAAATAGCTCAAATAAGTAAAAATGAGAAAGGATTGGTAGCTATGTAGTTTGGATTTTCTGTTTCTCTTTGAAAATTGGTGAATTTTCTGAAAAAGTGGAATACTTATAAAAAAAGGTGAAATTTTTAGAAAATCTGAAGTTTTGATAAAAATGCGGAAATCCGCTAAAAAGCGGAAAAATCTCATCCCTGATAAATACTAAACACAGAATAGTTTCAAATCAATACATGAAAACTTTTTATATTACTGTTGCGTAAAATAAATAACCAGTATCAATTAGTAATTACACCTTATACTATTGTATTTAATTATAATTTTAGCAAATTTTATTTGTAATTTAAATTTGTAAAGGAGTCCTAGATTCCCTTAATACAATAATTGTAAATAATCTTGAAATGAAAACACAGTAAATATGAACACTTTTGTACAAAAGTATTTTTAATGATTGTCTGGTTGGTTGAAATTATCAACTTTAAACTCACATGAAAGAGAAATTAAAAATCCTCCATTTAGTGAATCATTGTTATAAAACAAAAATTACATTAAATGTTATTATAACCACTAATTAAAACAATGAAGAATAAATTATCAATTAAAAAATAAGAACAAAAACAAGTCCTTCTATAGGTCATTGAAAATTTATTATTTTAAATTATTTACTAATTTATTTGCAAAACTGAAATAGTAATGAAATAGCATAAATTTAGGATGAACTACTATGTAGATGAAAAAAAGTTCAACATTTAATAACTAACTCATAATTTGAACAATAACTATTTATGATACACATAAACACATTGTAGTGAAATGTACACATAACAAGTAACAGCAAAATAGAAAGTAAGTAGCAATAAAAGGTAAGTAACAATTAAATGTAAATGCAATAAATGTTATATTACTGACCAATTCATATAATTTTGATGCCTACCCAAAGTATTTCCTTGTTTATCAAAAAACATTTTAGAAATAGAAGAAAAATCAATCCCAATAAAAATGAAAAAATTAAAGATATCAATTTTAGTTAACATTCAAATAACAGTGTTCCATTGTCCATCAAAAAACAATTTTAGAAGTAAAAAAAGAAACTAACAGAAGAAATTCTGAATCAACCTTAGTTAACTTAGTTTTATGAAAAAGGTGGCTCAAGATTGACACTCTACTGCAGAGGTCGCCAAAGTGGTCTGTATAGACCCCCAGGGGTCTATTCAGCAAAAGCGGGGGTCGATTCGAATCGGAAGTGTCGATTGGGGGTTGGGGAAAAAACAACTCTTAATATGCAAATCACACATACGTAATTTGTGTGATTTGCGTATTAAGAACTGTTGTATGTAAAATTTGTGAATTTTTTTGTAATTGACTTAATATCAGTTTCTTTATAAAACAAAAATTACTAAACATATATTTATTCGAGTGAAGCAAGCTGGTTTATAAGTCATATGCCTATGTGCGCTTGTCCAAATGTCACATGTGACTAGTATTGATGTTAAAAACGCAAATATCATATGCAGTTTCAGCTATCTTTGTAAACTGTGAACAGTGTTGAATATTTGCAGTGTCATTATTGAAACTTTTACAGTTTTTGATAATTAGTCATTGTTTTGATAAAACCATTCGTTTAGTTTAGATATCAATTTTAATTATCAATACATGTAAAAAAGAAGGTAAGCATTAATAATATGGATTAGTACAGCCCGAGACAAAACTGCAAGATGAGCTTGCTGAATTATTACCGGATCTTCAAGCAAAGACGCTTTTTAAAAATTTAACAATAAGCAAATTTTGGACAAATATAAATACAGTAGAGAACCATTTATCCGGTATCCAGGGAAACCAGAAAACCGGGGAAAATTTTGCTCGAATTTCCTGCCATTTTAAACTAGAATGAAAAAAGCGGAAATTGGACTCATCCTTGAAGTTGAGTAGAGGAAAATGTAAGGAAGGGGAAGATTTTTTTCCCCGTTTACACAGAGAAACGTCATTTCCTCCGTGACCTTGAAGGCAGGCAAGGGACGAATGTTTTATTTTTTCCTTTAGGCCGTCAATCAAACTCAAGGGTGTGGCATGCTGATTTCGTTTTCGCATGCATATCAGTGAACAGAAAAAGAAAAGAGAAAAATATATTTATTTGACATCGTCTAATAAAAATAAAATCTTTTTCTTTTGAATAAATTCTTATTCTTTGGAAGTGCGGTATCAATTACAAGTTTTACTTGGTGTGGAATCACATCTGCTGTAATTAAAAATCTTGTTTTTATCAACAAAAAAATAAAATAAAAGGAGAATTGTTTATTATTTTAATCATAGGATTATTTTATGAAGCAGATTGCAGTTTTGTTTTTCTGATTCCACTACGTTNAAGCCGGTTTCAGCCACGTAAATTCAATCTTAACTAAGTACGGAAATAAATTAAATGTGGAGATTTTGAACCCAATATAGTGAACCTTGCAAAAATATACCAGACACACCCATCTCATTGATTAAGAAGCAATAAATCTGCAGTGGCTTTACTTATTATTTCTACTTACTTATAATTACTCATTATTTAATTAATATTAAGGTATTCAAATTTCAACATTAATATATTTTTCATAAAACTATTGTTACAATGTACTATTACTTTAATAAATGTTTAAAATCATAAAATAAATGTACAAACACAGCATCTAATAGTTTTATTTTAATTAACAGAAAATTACTTTTATGGAGGTCGATGGAGATTTCAAAAAATTATATAGGGATCGATTAAAAAAGTTTGGCGACCCATGCTCTACTGCATACTTTATATAATTAATATTATATTAGAGGTTTAAATTTTACAATAACGTAAGTTAGAAATAAGATTTTACATTCCGAAATATATTTCAAATAACTTACTAAACATTTATAATTTTATTTAAAAAATCAGGCAAAATATCTTTCAATTTTCAATCAAAATCAAATATACCCGGATATTTAACTTACTCAATAATATTATGATATGCTTAATTTTTTTAGTAATAAGATACTATTTTATAAAGATAAAGAAACATTTTTCCGATTAACTTTAATGAGAAAGCAATTAAAAAAATGAATATAGAAATAAACATGGATACATACCACCCAATAGAGACTGAAGAGACAGCAAAATTGTCCTTACATCATACAATGCGGTCCACTTTTCTTTTAATATGTCAAGACAAATATTTCCTTGCTCATCAACATTTGGATGAAAACAAGGTGTTGTGAAGCGAACACTAGGTGCACTAAATGGATAGTTATTTGGAAATTCTAGCTTCAATTTATAAGTCAAACTCTCATAAACCTAAAAAAAAATTCACTTCATAATTTGCTCAGATTCAAACATGACAAAACACATTTTCAATAGCTAAAGCATTAAACAGACATAGCACTAATGACTAACAGGCACAAATGCAGTAGCCAATTCATCAGCATTTTCAGACACTAATCAATTAGCACACAAAAAATTTTAATAAAAAAGATTTTAAAAAAATACTGAACTCAGAAAAACTACTGAAAAATTGTAGGTCTGATTAAAGGAAAAAATTAAAATGACCAGTTTTTTTTTTTTGTGAGGGTTTTTCTTATTTTATAATCAATGACAAGTTTAACAAAAGACCACTTTGGTAAAAAACTTAAGAGCTAATTTATGAGGCGAATTTGATGCTGATATGAGTGATTTTTTTTTCTCCAAAACTTTAGGAAAGCTACGAACGTGCTAATGTGAGAGGAAACTGACAAGACAGATTTACAATAAAATTATAGACATCAAAAGTCAATATTAGTTATAGATGTTGATCTGAAATACAGTGCAGGATTTTTATAATGGAAACCTTGAAATGTGAGGCTTTGCATGTAATTGAATTTTATGTTAAAGAATATTTGACATATCTTTTAACTCACCTACAAACATGACAATATTAGTTGAAAAAAATCAACCTAAAAAATTCTTTAAAATAATTTTTGGAAAAAAACAGGGTTGCTTTGTTACTCAAGCAGAAGATAAAATTCCTTGACTTTTCCAGACATATTTTTAAAAAATACCAGTCTAATATTGCAGTATGTACTGACAGTACAGTGGTCAAAATATACAGTGAACCACACAAAAAAATTAGTATATTGTATATATTCAATTTTAATTAAAAAATATATATATAGCACCACAATACAGCGGGAAAAAAACGGTAGTAAAGAAATATAGATAATTTAAATCAATTGAGCAGATATACTAAATTATTCAATTCTTAATAAGAGTAGAAAAATAACAAAAATGCCAAATAAACTTAGAATTAAAAATTTAAAGAGGAAATTAAAAAAATGCTTACAATTAAAAAAAAATATATGTATTCTGCTGAGGTCGGTGTTGGTTGAAGGTGGTGTTTGGAGCAGACCATTTTAAGGAGGGTTGAAAAGTGTTACACCCAGGTAAAATGAAAAATCATTGGTCATTGTGAGTTAATTCAAATCTCCAAAATGAAAAGACACATTTCATTCAGACAGCATTCTTTATTTTGGCAAGACAAATTTTATCCAGGCATCATTTTATAATTTTGCACATTGGCAATGCCAATTGTTACGTTGCAGAAGATATATAAGCTGGCAGGAGGACATATCTACCACGTGGGTCCACGTCCTACCTGTGTGCTCCAAGGAGAAGATATCGAATTTGAGTAAGCATCATAAAGTTGCCAAAAAAATGTAGGAAAATTCAAGATGAATGATAATTAAAAGATATTTGAGAATTAATCAAAATGATAAGAATGAATACGAGATCTGCAATCTGGGAGCACACAGGGGGAGAGAAAAAAACGCAAAAAGGAAAAGTATCAACCTTCGCAGAGAGTTCTACGGGGAATACTGGTCTATCTCCAAAAGATACCGTTCCCCTCTTCAGCAGTGAGAATCTCCAAAAGTCAACACGCTAAGCCTTAGAAATCTTGCAAAGGCCAAAGACAACCAAGAGGGCACTTCAGTTGGAGACAGTCCAGTAGGCGATTGGAACAACAAACATTGTGATGATCACATCACATTATGTATTTATAATTGTCTAAATTCTTGTAGGTAGATCATTTTAATTTTATCTTAACATTAATAACAGTCATAAAAGTCACTCAAAGTCAGTCATAGCTCCACGTTGTAAAATTATGTATTCTTATGCTTACTAACAATGTTCTCAATGTCAAATGTTATTTTTATTGTTTGAAATCTGACAAAAAAGAAACTAAGTATATAATATAACAAAATGTGTCAAATGCAATAAAAAAATTTTCAAATAATCAAGTAATTATAGACCCTTAGTGCATTTCAGAAAGACTAATTACAGGAATGGTAATTATAAAAACAATTTTGGCCGGATAGATGAAAAACTAATCTCTTTAAGCTATCCATATTTTATAAAAGTTATCACATTTTGAACAAATTAAAAATTTTATTTGCTTGAAATTTCTTAGAAAAAAATCAGTGAATAGTAATTACATTCTATAAAGTTACCCACAGGTTTAAGGTGAAATTATACTTATCGACCCAAAAGAAGTAGTACTGAAATGTATAGAAAAGTCCTTCACAACATGGAAATATTTTATCCAATTGAAGTCTAGTGTATTTTATTGGCACTTTTTGTGCTTCGGACAATAATTACACAAAAGTTACAGACACATACAAAATGGTATGTAGAAGAAATATGCAAATTATTCTACTAACACTGATTATACAGAATCAGATTAAGTGATTATCAGAAATTGTATGGATTTATCTCTAACACCTCATAATATAGTACATTACTTAAGAAGTTCAAAAATATGTATTAGGGACACAGGCAGTAATAACATTTTACCTATATTTTTATTTAAAAAAATATATAATTTTAATATACAAAATGTGTCTGGTGTATATATATATTTACTCCTTGTGAAATTAAATAAACTAATTAATATTAAATAACGGAAATTAAGGTTACTCCCATCAAATAATGGAAATGAAAAAAATAATGATTACTCTCATTAAATAATGGAAATAAATATTTTAATGAGAAATCTTGCTTAAGGTAATAAGAGTTAACGAATGGACAAAATAAACCATATCTGTTGTATTATTATTGGGATTTAAAAAAAATCTTGTGGTAACCTGTAGTAAAAATATCATCGACAACCAAGTGTGAATTTACAAAGAAATCCTCGCAAATAGAGTTAATCAAAAAGCTATTAAAAAAAGATTAGATCATAATGTTGTATAATCCAGATTTTAAAAACCCATGTGGAAATCCATAGAAGGAATGATTAAAAAAAATCAAAATATTGCATTGTCTTACAATGGAACTGGCACTAAACACATTTCCATTGTAGTGCTCACTTGTTGAAGACCACAAATCTAGACCTGCCCCTGAATCTATTTTTGGTAAAAATAGTAAAATCATTAGTTAACAAGCTGTCAAGACCAATTTTGATAACAGAGGTGAAACTATTTTCAGAAAAGATGAGAGAATTAGAACAGGTTTTGACTTGGATCAACTAGAAGTATCAAAACGTTGACTCAAATTTGAAATGCACTTTTTCTTGTTTCCATAGCAGCAGACAACCCCAAACTCTAATACAAAAATTTCTATCATTAGATAGTTTTCTTCAATTATTCATTACCTTACAACAAAAACATACCTTTTTCTTCTTACTCACAAAAGAAAGAAGATGCATTTCTGTTCTAAACATGATTATCAAAGAATGTAACAACGCCCCATAAGGTTTTCTAACAGAATAATGTGCGAAAGTAAAAATAAAATGTTCAAAAGAAAATTATAGAGATACTTAAAATTAGAAATAAAAGAATGTTGAAATCTTACTGTTCCTTGAGGTCCATTGATAGTTCCAATCCAATTGAATAGATTTTCATCTGAAGGAAAAGCTGAAATACCTTTATCTCCACACATCTGTAAACATAAGATATTTAAGCAAATGGCTTGATTGTGATATTGACATTGTGGTTAAAATCAGTATGAATACAAACAAAAAATGTCCATTTTACATTAGCATACTTACAACTTTAAAAAACTGGAATTAATTGAATATCAGCAAAATCTTTACATGAAAAATTTAATGAAGCATATTAGAGTAAACTGAAAATATTTAGCATTTCTATTTCAATTTTAAAAACAATATCTTTTTATTACTTCAGAATGTCAGTAATGTTTTTGGACATAAAATCTTTTATAGTACAATATTTTAAGTTTTAACAGACGGCAAAGTAAGATTTACCAAATTTTCTTTAAAATAGATAATAAATCGCAAAGCGTGATATTTTAAATATGATTCACTATGCCAAATTTTTAAATAGTGTGTATACAAATAGCGATGTTACACATAAATCAAATTACATGAAATGTGAAGCAAGCCTAGAAGATCAAGTAAACTTAATGTCACAAAGTATGACTTGCAAATTGAAATGCAACGTATGTTTCATAAATCAAAAGATGAATAGCAATGATACAGTTCGAAAAATGAGCAAAGTAACAAGTCGTAAATTGTGACGAGAGCCACATAAACTACTTTAATGCAAATCGTGTTACATAATTCTTTGATTACTGTAATGCAAAACACAATTCACAATTTGGTAATCATTTTTACGCAAAAATCAATGCATAATCCGGTCAGTAATCGTTGCAATGCAAAATGTGATTCAAAAAGTAACTTAAATTAGAATTGCTTTGTGTGATTGAAAAATCACTTTGATGAAAATCGCAAGCAATTCTAAAATCCCTTTTAAGCTAGTTGTGATGCGTAATTATTAAATCTTTCTAACATAAATCCCTAAGTGTGATTCCTGAATCACTTGAATGAGAAATGTGATGCACGATTTAGAAAACACTTAAATGCATACCACTTCGAATGATTCAGGAATCATTTTAATGCAAACCCCAATCAGTGATTTACAAAAAACTTTGTGATTCGTAACGCTGTTTCATGCGAATCATGATATTTGAGTCATAATACACAAGAACTTAATCTTACCTATTAGCAGTGAAAATTAAATGTAAAAATCTGAACATAAACTATAGAAAAATCAAATGAAGTTAAATTATACTTAAAATTTGAAGAAACGTTGCATATTGAGAGGTAACTAAAACAGGTACAAAAACTAAAGTTATTTGCTAGAGATTCCGATTTTCTAAGCATGGAGGTGAACGATAATCAGGCAAAGAAAAACGTAGGAAGGAAAAATTATGTATTCCCCTTTAAGAATTTACTTTAGAATTAATTACTTTAGATTTAATTAAGAATCTTTTTGAAAATTGAGTTAGTGCAAATTACTTAATTATTTCATATTTGACAGCTTATTAAATTGCATATATATCAGAAATTATCAGATTTTACAGTTTTGGAAAAATATGGGAATTTTGGCAAGCCCCTTCTCTCTCTGCGAATTGGAATAAAATTGTCACACATTAGCAAATAAAATGAAAAGTTTCAAAAACTGCATGCTTCAAAATTAGTTTACATTACATGTGGTTAAAACAAGCCCAATACTAGACATGGTTTTGTTCAATATTTTCTTTTCACTATTGGTTTCCCTACTTTTTTGCAATCCAATCACAGGAAAGAGGTAAGTAAGGTTTTTTTTTTTTTTTTTTTCTAAATTTAAATCAGACTTCGAAACTCCCATTTGCTTACCTTGAATTATTCTTCAGTAAATAAAATGGCGAAAGGAGGAGTGATCTATCAATTTGCTTGAAGTTTCCTTTTGTTTCATGCTCTCTTTGAAGGAAAGTTTATTATTACTATTTTGAAAATCAGCCCAAGAAAAACAAATTTTTCAAGGACTTTCCGAGACCCTGATTTTTTCAAACAAAATTCAAGGCCATTCAAATATCGTGTGAACCCTCAATTACCAATTAATTTCATTTCTTAGGATTTTGATGACTATTCTGGTAACATTTCAAGAATTTGCCAATTTTAAACAAAATATCAATTAATAGGTATTTAGCATATTCTAAATACACATTTAAATAAAACAATTTAATTACAATAAAAAACAGGATTTAAATTTTAAAACTAATTAGATTTAAATTTAAAATTTCCAAATTCTTTTTGAAACAAAATATTGATTACAACAACCCTAATCCCTAAATCACTTACAATATCCTCATTTGTTCAATTATTTTTCAGTAAAGCTCTAGAATATTTCACTATAAGCATGTGCTTAATCAAAAGAAATGTTTGGTTATTAAAATGCTCACTTTCATTTTGCAGGATTTCATTTCGATTTAATAGATAAGTAAAATTATAAATGAGATCTACAAGTAATAAGTTTTTACTTTCACAATACTCTATCATTTAAATAAATTAAAAACTAATCAATGGGGTAATACATCTAAAATATAAAAATAGCTTACCATCAGAGTCATCAATTCTTTCTGCAACCTATTAAACAAATAAATTTTATTAAAAGCAGAATAGAAATGAATGTATCAATAATTACATAAAAATACTACACTAAAGCTAACTAACTAAAATTTTACCTTAAAAAACTTGATTGAATGTAATTACTGTCCGCCTAATTTTCATCTAATAAATTCAGAGTAAAACATTCTTGATTTGTACAAAATGTAATTTTTATTTGACAATGGATGGTTGACTGAATGTAAACTAAAATCTGAAGAAATTTGGAAAACTTCCGGTGTATCCCACCATTTATGTTATGCTTATGAGGCGATGCGTGAACAAGCTTAATATTCTCAGAAGTTTTATTATTGTGATTTGAGTTTGAATTTTGACGTAGTTTTACTATTCATAAGAGCTTTCTATAATTTATAAATTCTAACAGGTTGTGAGCCTAAAACAAATCTAAGAAAATTAATAAATTATTCACATCATAAATTAAGTGTAAGTTTTGCCATGTTTTAAGTGTCATCCCTTATTTGGCTAAACTTGTGCAAAATTGAGCTGTTTGTTCTTTATTGGATAGCATCGTAGTAAGCCAGTGGAGTCTTCCTAGAACATCTGTTGTTTGCGTTGTGAAAGTTAAATTGAAAGAATGTGTTATATTCAGGGTATCTGCTACATTTTAGATTTTCAAATCCCTGACTTTTCATGGCTTTCTTTTCCATGACTAATTCCAAGAATTTTTCATGACTTAACAAAGTTACTATTTTCTCTGACAAAAAAACAATAAATTTAAAAAAGCATTATAATAACATTAATTGAATGATAGGTAACCAAAACTGTCAGTCTGCATCTTCTTATTTATACTTCTGATTTTTCTGTTCTCATTTCGGAATTAAAAAAATTTGCCGATGACTGGCTTGCTTCAGTTTGAATTTAACATTGATAAAATAAAAATAAATATTAATAAAAATTCTGAAATCACAGAAGTTTAAAAGATAATTCACNTTATACTTCTGATTTTTCTGTTCTCATTTCGGAATTAAAAAAATTTGCCAATGACTGGCTTGCTTCAGTTTGAATTTTAAATTGATAAAATAAAAATAATAAATATTAATAAAAATTCTGAAATCACAGAAGTTTAAAAGATAATTCACTCTGGAAATGTTTTTTCTTTCATTTTTAAAAAGAACACATTAATATTTAAAGAACATGATAAAAACATTTTATTTTTTAATAAAATATGACCGAGTGGGGATTTTGTAATAAATTTAGAACACCATAAAATTGGAGGGGGTTGAATTCCATTTTAAAAATTAGATTTTACGGCGACCTACATCCATGACTTTCCATGATTTTTTTAAAATATAGTTAAAATCATGACAAATTTTGTTCAATACCGAAATTCATGACTTTCCAGGTGCGCAGATACCCTGTAAATTAATAACACTACAAGTGTTATATTGGTTGGTGCTTTTTTTTCAAACTTAGGCCTAAAAAACAGCCAGAAGTAGAATAACCCGGTGAGATAATTAAGAATATTCCTATGAATATATTTAACTTTGTGAAGTAAAACTGAATAGCTAAAAAATAAATTTCAAAACATAAATTGACAATTTTTTTTTTTTTTAAATTTTGAATTGGGAGTTTACTTGGCACTTTTGTGTTTTCTTTTTACTCTTATTAAGCTCTGCATAATTTAGAATATTTGTACTATTTTAACCTTTTACACTCCACTGACACCTATGCAGTGACATCAGGTCACCACTTTGAAAATTTTGTATCTAATTATTTTGTTACATTTAATGATTATAAAAAATTATATAGTAATATTCTGGGGTAATTGTGAGTCCAACTTAAAAATCTTGAAAATTTCTTGAGAAAAATCATTAATGACCCATTTCAAAAAATTTATATCTTTATAAATTTAAATCATGGCTATTTTCAAAACATGAGATTCTAAATAAATAATATGCAGCATTATTTGAATGAATTTTTTTTTAAGCTTAAATTTATCTCAAATCACATTTATTATTCTACCAAAAAAATATTTACAAATGAAAGTTTCCTAGCATAAATTTCAGTTCTAATATTTTTAACTAAAATATACAAGAATTTTTATATGTAAATGTGATTGATGATTTCTTGATCTTGAATTCCCGGAAACTTGCAAATCACGGTCAGCGAAAAATCCGGACTTTTTCCGGAGTACAATCACCCCTGATGTTGTTGTTGTTCATTTACGTCGTACTAGAGCTGCACAATGGACTATTGGCGACGGTCTGGGAAACATCCCTGAGGATAAAAAGATATGCCATCGCAATTTTGATCCTCCGCAGAAGGGATGGTACCCCCGCTTCGGTAGCCCGACGACCTGCACGAGAAGTCGAGCACTTTACGGTAGAACAGTTTACAATCACCCCTGAATATTAACTTTAAATCTACATTTTAAATAAATTAGTGCATACAATATTTTAAATATTTTGAAGTACTCAGAATTCATAAAGTTAAATTATAATTTTCACAACATTAATACCTAAATTTTGAAATTTTTTGTTAATTTATAATTTAAAAAATTATAAGCAAAATTATTTGGTTACATTCATTAAAAAAATATCCTTTTGTATTACAGAAATTTTCAATTTCAGTTTTAATTACATTTAATTTTAGAATAATTACATATATATATATATAGGTGATAAAAAGATGATAAAGAAAAATCTTTTACCCAAGTAAAAAGTTAGCTAACATTTTACTGAGCTGTTTCATTAAAAGGTTTTTTGATTGCATTTTGGTTAGTTAAAAGATGGCAGATTTCTGCTCATTTCTAAACCATCAACAATTTAGATGATATAGAAATTATATTTTAAAATGTAAAACAAACTTTCTCTATAATGTTTTCAAATTATTAACACGGAAATGGATAATATATCATGAAATATATTTAAAAATTGATATTCTTCCAGTTTAGTGTCCAGGATACAAAAATTCATTTTAAAAAAACAAACACAAGTTATGGTTTTAAATTGTGTTCACTTACAAAATATGGTCTTTCCTAAGGTAAAAAATATAAGAGATAAAAAGATGTTTTTACAATGATAAAATAAAAATTCTTATAAAATTCTCAATATTTCTTCAAAATTCTAGATATTTTTTTAAAAAATATTAAATTTTCCAATAGAATATTAATCAATATTGTTTTATTTACTTATTAATTACTGATTCAAATTTTAAAAAAAATCTTGTGTACTTTTAAACATTTTCAGAGAAGGGACAGTAATTACATTTTTTCCATGCTACCACAATTTTTAAACTACATTAATTTCTTTTCAAATGAGTTTTTATTTTTAAAATTTTTTCATTGTTGGTCATTGATTTGTAGATTTAAATGTATGGTCTTAATGTAAAAATTATCAACATTAATTATGAGATGAATTTTTCTTACTTGGATTAGGAAAAAGTTAACGTTATGAGAAAAAGAGAGTAATCCCTTAGAATAAAAAAGAGCAGGGTGCTTCTTCACGGAAGAGGGCACCTCACAGAGTTTTGAAAAAGCCCTCACTTACCATCATTAAAATGTATCAAATTGTGTAATATTAAGTTGTGTAATACTAACTGAATTTAACCAGCAATTTTTAAATAACTCTTATATTATTTTATGAGCATATTTCACAAACTAATTCTCACTCAGTACCAGAATAACAGAAAAATTCGAAGTTTTGGAAAATTAAAGACAAGCTCTGTATATAATTTTCTCAAAAAAAGTAAACTAAAAGGAAAAAGGATGAATTGATAAACAGCGCTTTTATGTATACATACAGTGGATCATCGTTTATACGACGATCACTTATACGGCGTTTACATTTATACGACGTTTTAGTGTGGTCCCAAATCATTCCTATTCATTTTAATGTAAAAATATATCGTTTATACGACGCACAGAATCGGTTATACGTCGATTTTTAGATTTTGTTCTTTATTTAATTTTTTATTTTTTCTTGTGTATTTTAAAAAAAGGCGGAATTTGCCAACATGAATGATGCAGAAAAGGGTGTCAACAAGAATGCTTGGATGACGACCGTAATTTTTACTAGATGACTGAAAAAACTAGACAATNATATATATATATATATATATATATATATATATATATATATATATATATATATATATATATATATATATATATATATATATATATATATATATATATATATATATATATATATATATATATATATATATATATATATATATATATATATATATATATATATATATATATATATATATATATATATATATATATATATATATATATATATATATATATATATATATATATATATATATATATATATATATATATATATATATATATATATATAAAGGGTGTTCTATAATGTATGTTCTTATTACATATTTTTATTCATCAAAAAATAAAAGGAAAAAAAAAACATTTGATTTTCTTTAAGTTGGTATCTGTTCTTCATTTAAAGATTGTATCCTTTAATGTGCATAGATTTTATACTTCATTCTTAGCAAGGATTCTAAAAGCATACATTACGGATCATCACAAACATTTGATTATATGAAAATCTCAAAGTTAAATTTATAATTCTAGGAAAATTCTTTGCAGAAAAATATCCAAAATCGGTTGGAGAGCAAATGGGCAAACAATAACTTAATTTAAATATATTTTTCATCTAGCTTTCCACTTACTCTAAGAGACTTGCGTTTCAAGGGAGAAAAAAAAATTAGCTCTATAAACCAGCAAAAAAATTATACACTTGCTAACTAGAAATTAATTTTATTTTCAACTACAGGTGTTAGCTTCAAAAATAAATTAGCATTCAGCAAATAAACATTAACCACATCCATCAAAAATGCAAACGTTTGAATTAATATATTATCTTACCTCTTTTTAACAGAATGACAGCTGGAATCTGATTTATTGTTTTCAGAAGATTTCTTAGACATTTCAACTAAGGAATTAGTAATGCGGGGGTCAACGTTTTGTGAAGCCATAATTTTTTAAAAACACTTGTAACTAACAAAATTTTTTTTAAATTTAAAAAACCGCATGCAATACTTCGCAGCCACAGGTTTCTTAATAGTACAGCTTACTCGTCATTGGACAAGCCCTCTTCTAAAATTTTTCAAATTATGATGCCAAAACTCATTACAAAATACCAGCGAAAATATAAATAGTAGTACAAGGGTTACAAGGGGCTTAAGATGACACAGCGCAAGTTAGTTGAGGCAATCGAGTTATTTCCGCTTCACGTCACAATCACGAATCAGCTTTGGATATTCAATTAAATTTTGGTTGATAGTACAAGAAGTTGGTAAATGTGAAAAAAGGGCCATGTGATTTACGTGAGTCCGATCACCGTTGAGAGAAAAAGACTGCATGCGATTCTTTGCCTTTCACTGGCAAGTTGTGGCATATCTACCACTACCATTACAAAACATCAATTCACTGGTATATAAGACAAGCTAATTTGATTCAATCATGAGGTACCTTTTGATAGATGAAGTTTGGCATTGTCGTTAACTCTACCCCCACATTGGTGACCCGGACGTGATATGATCACGCCTATCTTGACAGTAGCGCCCACTTCGATCTAGTAATGCCTACTTCGATGGATGGTCCACATTGAACAGTTGACTTGCTACTTGTGACTGCAACATTATCCTCCTCCTCAAGCTATTGCTACTCAGTCTCGTTTCGATCATACACAACCTCAGCCTGCATACACTCGACTGCTAAAGGTAGCACAGGAGCGACTACGAACGTAAAGTTAATTCACCTCTCACATTCAACACTCAAAAAAAATAACCGGTCACCTTAATCCAACTCTCCCGGTCTTTCACAAATACAGCAACTAGTGGTATCCGTTCATCGAATTCTATCCCTGATAAAATTCTGGTTAGGGAGTATTGTGGCGTAACTACCACTACGATTATAAAACATCAATTCACTGGTATATAAGATTGAAGCTAACTTGATTCAATCATGAGGTACCTTTTGATAGATAAAGGTTGGCTTTTCTTATATACCAGTGAATTGATGTTTTATAATCGTAGTGGTAGTTACGCCACAATACTCCCCCACTCCGCCCCCCCACAAAGTGAATGATTAATTTCAATTCCACCTTCGATTGTCTACGAGAACATTCATGCACCATGCGTATCTTGCACCTACGATCATCGTCAAGAGAAAATGAGAACCTAATTGGTAAGTATTTTTTACGGGAAATAATATGATATAAATATCACACATCAATCAGGTTCTTATTTTCCATCAACGGTGATTAGAATGCATGGCATGCAGTGAAAGTTGCCCTCTACACTTACATACGAATGTTTAAAATCTACCTGCAAGATAAACGTCTCGTGCATTCTGGAATCGTATTTACATGTTGTTGCATATGCGGCTCATGGAAGGTTGACCGTGTACAGGCTAAGCACAGATGGCTCTACGGGTTATTACTTTAGATTGATTTTTACGCCTAAACTTGAAAAATTGTGCCATCAAATATATTTACACTTGTAGTGTTTACAATGTAACGCGTTTTTTAAATTTAAACGAAACGAACACCATAAGAATTTGGAAGATTCCTCAAGCATGCTATGCCCTGCAATATGCTACCCAAAAAATAACTAACTGTGATATCTTAAAAAATATTGCCCAATAAAGGATAACACTCAAACCATGGCAAACCTTACACTTTATTTATGTCACGGTGTTAATTTTCTGAAATTTATTTTAGGCTCACTTCCAGTTAGAATTTATAAATTACAGTAATCTGTTATAAATGCTAAAATTACGCACAAATTTAAACATAAATCACATTACTAAGACTTCCTAGAATATTAGAATATTAAGCCTGTTAAGCCTAGAATATTAAGCCTGTTCACAAATCACTTTGTAAGCGTAACATTAGCTGAGGGATACGCCGGAAGTTTTCTAAATATTTAGGAAACTTGTTATTGTTTACATTCAGACAACCAACCATAGGCAGTGAGAGCTATGAAGCATTCTCCACTGTGTGTGATTGAATCTTTGCATGTGTTTGAATCATTACATGTGTGATTTAAATATCTCCAAGCGCAGTCTAAGGAGAATGAGAACCTGATTGGTGAAATATGAATGGTGCTTCCTACACTGGGGACGCTGCTGGCTCTTTACTGCTTATACTTACGGCTTGCTGTTTCTGGTGTATTTTGAGGCCTTTTGACTCACAACGTGTCCATTGTACTTCGAAACACTCTTATATAGTATTTGCTACCTGATTTATTATTTGTATTTATAATGAGTTCTATATCTAAATGGCTCTTGTTGTGTAGCTCGTTTGAAAAAAAGAATAGTTATATAACACTTTTTACCTTGTCAACAATATACCAAGTTTGAGATTTAAACCTAAATGATAATTCGCAAAATAAACTTAGTCTCACAGCTCGAACTATATGCTAACACTAAAGTATGATGGTGCACAACTTGCAACAAGAACAAACAGTAATAAACAAGTAAAAGAAGGCCAGACTGACAAAAAAAAAAGTGAATTCTTTTTAAATCCAGCAACCATGTCATCTTTTCTTAACAATATATCTATAAATAACTAAAATAAATTTTAATTTGAAGCTCAGCAGAATTACTTAATATCATACATATCTTATGAAACACAGCAGATTTGAACTCAGAAAGTACATAATCTATTTATTTGATTAAAAGCAAAATTATCTGCTTGAAAATATCGCTTGCTTGAAAATTATCTGTTTGAAATGAGCTGTAGTAAGCAGCTGAAAACTTTCCAGCCGGAAGTCAAGCAGGTCAAGAGCTCAAGATATTGAATGGTGTTTACATTCATATTGAAAACACCATCCATTTCTTAAGGCCTGTTTAGACGATCCAGTTTCATGGACAGAGATTGATTGATATTGATGGAAACTTGTTTTGCTTTGAGCTTGGATCGTGTAAACAACCATCCAAGAACTTGGTCCAACTTCTTGGACGATAGTAGAGCATGTTCTACTTTCCCTCCAAGTTTTTTCTCCCTTAACCAATCAGCGTCTTAGGTTTTGTGACGTCAACAAGCAGGCAGCAAATTATGTCATTTTGTTGTCTGTTTTCATATATTTTAGTTCAAATAAATTGATCTGTTACGGTTTATTTGTGTTATTATGATTTTATTTGAATTTATTTAGTAATTTTAAACTTATGTAAGTATTACATTATTTTATAATATTGAATATCAACATTGCGCACGCGCAAGTTTTTCTTTTAATGAATCAGCGACATTCAAGAACTTGGATAGTGTCAACGAATCATCCAATTTCTTGGACAGAGAAATTCGTCCAATTTCTCGGATTCAAGAAATTGGACCGTGTGAACATGCCTTTACAGCGGAAAACTAACCGATATAGTTTTTTTTTCTGGACAATGATCAGAGGTGTGTTAATCATATGCAGTTGGAACGGTCCAATGAATATACAAAAAGAACTGCTTGCACATGCAGGAATCGCATTAATGAGCGACCCTAAAGACATATCTTTATTCAACCTTATTGTACTTGTAGTTTATTTCAGTCGCACAAGAGCTGCACCATGGGCTATTGACGACGGTTTGGGAAGCATCCCTCAGGATAATCCGAAGACATGCTATCACAATTTTGATCCGCTGCAGAAGGGATGGCACCCCTGCTTCGGTAACCCGACTACCTGCGTGAGAAGTCGAACACTTTATGATAGAACTGTTTAACGGGGACCAATACCGCACACCCTCGGTCTAATCGCAGGTTGATCAAAGTGGTCACCCATCCTCACAGTCAATTATACTTAGCTTCAGTGATCTGCTGGGAACCGTGTTTTAACGATTAGTCCACTGGGGGACTTCAACATTATGGATTATTAACGGTAACGCAAGTGGAACAAAAAATCAGACAAAACTCTAAAAATTAATTCAGAGCATTTGTCCTTTCAAATCTATCTAAACATTATGATGCATTAAATTGAAAACAAGTTAAATTTAATTTTGAAAAATACGTAAGAAGTATTTATGTACAAAATTTTAAAAAATCAACTTCACCAAAAATCAATTTGCTTAAAATTTTACAAAAATATTATAAAATTAAATGCAAAATACTGAGTGAGCCAATATAACCTAGTTTAACTAGTCTGGTTGGACCATAGAAGTCCAGATATTAGAGAATCGGACTCTGGTTCGAAGGAGCTAGGGTCCGATCCGTGACTCCACTAAGACCCGCCAAGTACAGGCGTCTATAAGTTCTTGTAACATCTGTGGAATCGAAAATCTTGTGGTCGGTCTCTGAGTAACACTATGGGTGCTGGGATCTAGAGAAAATTTCTTTCCCCTTCAGATCTATGTCTAAATTGTGTAAGTAGCTAAAGCGTAAATAGCTCAACTATGTCCTGCCATCTATCCGGGGGGTCTAAGCTAAACCGTACTTTCACATCTGCGGTACTCTCTTCTCAAACGAAAGGAGCGCCTTCCTAAGACCAATTCGCTGAGACCAATGGCTGGGAGAGCTTGACTTGTCCAAGAGTCAATAAAACTAACAACAGTTTGGATAATTCACTGAAGTCTGAAAGTATTCATATTTACAAATGCATGAAAATAAATAAAAATAAAAGTATGTACTTTGTATTTCATTTTAAATTTTTTATTTAGTCACGAAGAACACTTGTTGCAATTGCGCTTTGAATACATATGTTATTAAAAATTTTAATTTTGATAATTGTCTTATGATAATTTTTACTTGTCTTGCAAAGTTTGATTTAGATGATCAACGACGTATGCTTATTTATTATCACCGGCCAAACATTTAGCACATTTTTTAAATGGTTTTGCTTATTTTTCTAAATTTAAAACATGCTTTACATAACTTAATAAACGTCATAATTAAAAAAAAAAAGCTCCTTGACATACTTAAAAAGCAACGTATTACAATTAAATCAAATTATAATGTCCGTTGTAGACACTATTACCAACGTTTAACTCTCTCTTCCCCTTATTATATTATATTATATTATATTATATTATATTATATTATATTATTTCCTTATAATCAACCAGTTTAGAAGCTATAATCAAATAGCTCAAAAACAAAATACTATCTGGAGCAAATAATGCTAATTTTAAAATACGTTTT